CAGCAGGGAAGGAGCCTGTGCAGACTAGGTCAGGCTGCAATGTGGGGGCTTGGGGGGGCACATCCAGTATAACCCTGGACAGGCAGGGTGAGCTAGGGTGGAGGGAGGGGAGGAATTGGAGCAAGTTTAGGAAAAGGTTTTTGACCGAAGCATGGCAGCTATGTGGGTGGGGTGTAATGGGGGCTGTACTGTGTGTGTGATAGGGGCTATCATGCATGATAACAAATGCTGTGTGTGGCAGGTAAGATGCTGTGTGTGGTAGGAGATGCTGTGCATGATAGATAAGATGCTGTGTGTGCTGGGGTTTTAGAACATGCCATCTCCTATGTGGAATCTCTTCTTGTTCCCCTGAATGAATGCACAAGGTGCCCACAGGAAAAAGATGAATCCACAGGGCTCACTTGTGGAAAATGTCTGGGAGAAAAGAATCTCAAGATTCTCGAGATAATTCAGGGGTCAAGGCTTGTGGCTGACCTAAGTTTAATTATGTTTTTTCTTTTTGGGTCACACCTGGCAATGCACAGGAGTTACTCCTGGTGGTGCTCAGGGGACCATATGGGACGCTGGGAATTAAACTTGGGTCGGCCATGTGCAAGGCCAACACCCCACCTGCTGTGCTGTTGCTCCAGCCCCTCAAGTTTAATTCTTGGCACCACATGAGCACCCCTAAGCACAGAGCCAGGAGTAGCCTAGAATACCTGGCCTCACCATAACAACAACAACAAAAACAACAATATTCTCAAGATTTTTGAGTGCAATTCATTATGGAATGCTGGTGGAGGAAAACCACTATCACCTCTGGGCAATCTCTCTTCATTGCTGTGTGTCCCCCCCCCATGGGGGTTCAGAAACAGCAGCCCTCACAGGCAGGGCCATGCCTGCCTCGCCTTGTGCCATGTCCCCTGGGTCCGGCCGGCCCCATGATCCTTGGCGAGGATTCCAAATGTGAAGGGTCTGAAGAGAAAGGGGGGCCGAGAAGGAGAGGGCTGGTGCCGTGCGGAGGGAAACGTGCAGAGCGGCGAGGTGACCCCCCTGGGTGGGGGGACGCCGCCGAGGGAGATCACAGAGTCAGGGACATTAAGGAATGATCATGTCTTTATTCATACACACTGGCTTCCAAACTACAGTGGCGCTATCTAACAGAGTGTCATGCAAACAGAGTTTAGAGGGGCTTGGAATGGGGTGGGGGAGAGCAGAGCAGGCGCGCGCACAACCGTCGGAAACCCAAGGCTCCCGTGCAGGCGAATGGCTCTGGGTGCCAGAGTGCCCCAGCCCCACCTCCTTCTCCTCCTCCTCCTCCTCCTCCTCCTCCACCTCCCCATCCCCTGCAGTTGCATCCAGCCCAGCCTTGCCAGTGCACAACCGAGACACGGCATGTCTGACACACACACACACACACACACACACACACACACACACACACACACCCGCACACACACATACACACCCACACACACCCACACACACACATACACATACACACATAGCAAAAGCAACCCTTTCAAACGTTTCTGCCCATCTAGAAAAGAAACTCCCACAGCGAGGAGATCCGAAGTGAATTTCCAGGCCAGTTCAGCACCCATCACTGCCCTCATGTCTGAATTTGAAATAGTCCGAGTATCCCCATAAGGAAACAATCACATTCTTCCAGGAAGAGTTTCAGCAAGAACCGACGGACGAACGCAGGAGGCAAAGCTGACACCAGACAGGAGTTTGTTGGTTGGTTTTTTTTTCTGGGTTGGATAAAAACAAGACTGCCTTTCATCTTTGTTTAGAAAAACAAAAATGGTTCTTAGAAAGTGGGCCTGAGCTCTATGTTCTGAAAAGTGGGACCCTGTCTGCCCGCAGAGGTGGTCAGGCATGAGTGCGGGGGCCCAGGGGCTATTTCGGTGACCACCTCTTCTTTCTTGGAGAGCGGGGATTGAAGTATTTGTGAATGGCCCCCCCATGGCCGCCCCCAAATGTGAGAGTTTGGGGAGTCATACGAGCAGGAGACGGAGCCGAGAAAGCACCTCGCCTCTCAGTGTCAAAAGGGATCCCAGAGCCTTGCAGAGCAAGGAGGGCCCCGGGAGCCCCAGAATGCTCTCTCCACCCTTTTCTTGAGGGGGGGGGCTGCAGCCCTTAGGCCAACTTGGGGCTCCGGGATGTGCCCTCATTCTGATGTGGACGCCCCATCCCTGGGGTCCTGGCAGTGGGAGCATAGCATGGGGGGGGGGGCGGGTGGGGGTGGGTCTGGCTCCCCTGGCCAAGACCTACCACTGGTTACATGCAATCAGAATCTTAAGAAGTCATCAGCTGTATTTTAAAAACTCATTTTTAAAAGAATTATGAAAGCTCCATAAAAAAGTAGAAAGAGTCCAGTTTGATTGCTCTACTGGCATTAATAAATTGGTTTCTTCCCTCTGGGTTACTTATTTTTTTTTTAAAAAAGAAGTCTTTGGAACCAGTGGCCCTAGGTGGAGGGGTCGGGGTAAGGCGGCTCGAGGGGTGGGGTCCCCCCTGCACGGTGTTGGTGGTGCCCTGGGTCTCCAGAGCAGAGACAAGGGGTCCTGGACACGGTAGAAGGAGCAGGATTCTCTGCTCTAGAGAATAGGGGTTCTCTTTTCTAGAGGGGTTCACCTTCCCCACGATTTTTGTCTTTCCTGAGCGCTTTTCTCGAGCCCGCCCTGAGCCCACCACGTCAACCCCAATGTGGAGACAGCTGAGCTCGGGACCCAAGGACGCCGGGAAAATGATTTCAAAGCAAATGATTTCCAAGTCATTCCCTGAAAATCATTTCAGATGGTATCTCCCGATGGTCCCTGCACAATCAGCACACAGTCATGAAGGACAAGCGTGTGCCCTTCGCGAGTGGGGGTGGCCGGGTCAGTGCCCGTGTGGCGCCTGCCTCTGCAGGGGTCCAGGAATGATGAGTGGGCACGGGGGGGGGGGCGGGCAGGGCACTGGGAGCCAAAGCGAGAAGGTGGGGGTGCCTCTGTGCCTCTGGAGGCCGGGACAACCATCCATCTCCTGCTGGGTTTCTCTGTCTTAAAGTGGGATCAGGTGACAACTGGAGTTGCCTGTAGCTGCACCCACCCCCTCCAACTGCCCTCCTCTGGGCACGAAGCAAGAGAGTGCAGCTCTGTCCAGACTGTGGAGGCCACTTCTGGCTCGGGAGGAAGCAGGATCCTGCAGGGCAACAAACTTCTACAGGAGACCCATGGGCCCAGGTATCTTGCACCTGGACCAAGTGACCCAAAGGATGCTCCAGCCGCCCTGCCCGCTCCCCCAGCCCCTTACGTCCCTCTGCTCCCAGCGGCCTGCACCAGCCTTCTCCCACCGGCCCTTCTCGGAGGCAGCTCATGGGAACCCTGTCACCATCTGGCTGGCCTTCACTGGGCTGAGCCTCTTCTTTCAACCAATCACTTGTGCCTGCCCAGGGCTCTGGGGATCCCCAGAGACAGGGTGACCTGTGCCAGCTTGTCCCAAGGCCTGTGGGGCAAGGGGCTGGGGCACCAGAGCTGCCCCAGTTTTCTCCGATCTTCCGAGCAGTGTCTGCTGGGTATCACCTCGGCCCCGAGGGCCACCTCTGGCTGCCCATATGGGGTCCGTCCATGTGGCCGGAGCACCTGGGGTGACAGGCAAAACCAGCCCAGATGGCCGGCATGACCTTTCGGGCCATCGGTCGAGATGATGCCTCATAGTCCTGGCTCTTGGGGGCACTGGAAGGCCAGAAATCCTTAAGGGACCCACAGTGCCCACCTCTGTGAGGTATCTTCTCCTCCCGCCCCTGGACACCCTTTCTCTGCTCTGTCCTCAAATGCCACCAGATTTTCCCAGTCGATTCGGGGCTGGTCCCCTAAGCACCTTACTCCTTTGATAACCAGCATGTGGGACACTTCGTCCCCTAAGAGAATCTGCTTAGACCCTCACTTCGTCCTGAGCCCCAGGGCAAGCTCATCCCGGCCATGCTCCCTTGTACCCCTGTACCTTTGGTTTTGAGCCTACTGTTCCTTAGACCGCCCAAGTCCCATCACTAAGGAATCTTCTTGGGAAGTGCTGCCACCCTTCTCAAAGATGACAGAGGCCAGCAGGGTTGGGGAGAGATGGCCTGGCTCTCGTTCCTGGGGAGTGCAGGGGTGTCTGAGGGAAAGGGGGAAAGTAGGCAGCTGAGTCGGGGCAGGAGGGGACACAATGAGTCTACCACTCTACTTCCTGTGGGGATGGTCCTCGTCTCTGGGACTGGACATCCGGCTTTTCCATCTTTGGGGGGGGGGCGGGGGGTCAGACAGGATGCTGTTGCTTAGACTCTTTCTCTAGGCTGCTCCCCTCTTTACCAGACCAAATAGGGGGTACGGGGTGCCCATGTGCTGCGTAAGTGGGTGCAGGCCAGAATGGTGGCAGCTCAGATGGAGCCAGAGTTCCTTTATAAGTCTCTGGGGCAGGAGGTGTGTGGCAATGGTGCGGCCCCTTCCCAGACCCTCACTTCCTTGGGCATGGGTCTCTGGTATGCCTGGGGGAGTGATTTTTCACCTCGAAACCCCTCCCAGGGTGGCAGCACACAGAGAGTAAGAAGGAGGCAGTTGGGAGCTGGCAAACAGAGGGACTGCCCTCTGCTGGGATGGAGAGCTAACTCCTAGAATGTTCTAGAATGTTCTGTGGTAGAAGCCTGGCTCCTTTGAAGATGGTATCTTGCTGAGGAAGTGCCTGTATGAGATGGAGAAGGCCGTCTGGAGGGTTGTCTGTGGTGACTGGGGACTTCCTGGTGTCCACGCATGTGGCAGGCCAGGCATCTCCGTGTCCCTCTCACCAACGTCACTCATAGTCACAGGCTGGAAGCTGGGACAAAACATACACTGTGTGAAGCCCAGGGCCATGATACCAGCCCAAGGGCACAGACAAAGAAGATGTTCCTGTGTCATATCCTTCCTATTGTCCCCAACAGGAAGGGCGTGGGGTGGAACTCCAACAGAAGAATATGGAGTGAAGAGACAGTTTCATCTTAGGAAAAAAAGCTTCCCCCCCCTTAACAAAACTTCTATTTGTAGAATCAAATATTTACACATACATACATATATATATATATCTATATATATCTGTCTAGTTGATCATGTAAAGTAGCCATTCACTTTCAAAATTAGATCTATGATTAAAAACAATCAACATCTGATACAGTGGCCTCGTGCAGGGGTGCAGGGAGGGGGCACACACAGCAGAAAATTCGGCTAAATGAAATCTTCCAAGCAAGTCAGAAACAAGGACCTTCACAAATGTAGCACAGTTATGTCTTAAAAAATGATTGCAATGCTCTCTTGATACTTGATACAGTTAGGTTGATAATATAGATTCACTTGTCATTAGGTTTATTATAAACATGCAAATTTCCATTGCATGATGCATCAGCAAAGCACAGAAAATCCTTCTAGGAGCCACCTGTGAGCGGAGATGCATCCAGGGCTCTGAATTCTCAGGTCCAGGGGTGTCCGTCGGCAGGAACTGGATGTGGGAACCCAAACCATGTGGCTTGTGGGTCTTTTTTCCCCTGGCTTGGCCCTAAGTAAATGCCAAGGGCCTGAGATGGAGAGGGAGCAGGACCAGAAGGGCCGGAGGCCAGAGCTGACACTGAGTAGGTCACTGTACATCGTACTCTTGTAAAGACACTGCTGCCTAGCAAATAAATAAGTACAAAAGGGATGAGCGCACGCACCAGCCTCTCCGGAAGCGGGGAACAAATCTTGGTTGGTATGGGGGGGTGGGGCTGGGGGCTTGGCTAACAACTCTCATGAGTAGTGGCTTGATTGCTGATGGCACCCTGGATCACAAAACAATCTCTCAGAGATTAAAATGAACACACACACACACACACACACACACATACACATACACACACACATACAGGTCTATCCTTGATTGAAAATGATTTCACATGCTCCTTTAGCAAAGTCCTTAGAAGATTTGGCCTCTTAAGAAGAAATGCAAAGAATTAGACAGTGATCAACGGGCAGGGTTACAAGACAACAAACAGGTGCACCTCACACTCATCTGAGGTCCCCCCTTCTTTTAAAACTGGGTGACTGTTCGACCTTATTGGGGGGTCACAATGCCCGGGAACTGGGAGCCTACAATAGGGTACAGGGTGACAATGGGGCTAGGTGTACCCCAGTCTTGAGGGGGTTTGAGGACTGCCTCCCAGAAGCATCGGGGATTTCAAAGCCACCCTGACTGACTCCCGATCCCAAGATGCTCACTCTCTAGGCACCCCTGCTTCTCCCCCTTTCCAAAAATGCCTTGTGGGGCTGCAAGTTTCCAGCCAATACCCAGAGCAGGCTCTCTTCACATCTCTGGCCGCCGGGGGATCCTAATGGATGTGTCGGAGGGCAGATGGGTTATGGAAAAAATATCAAATCGTACCAAAAAGGGTGTGGGGGGTGGGGGGCACGAGTCTGTTTGCTCTCTAGGAAGAGGCACCCTACTTCCAGATGTGACTTGACTTAGTTCAGCTGGACACTAAATATCACATCATTTTCCACTAAGAATGTTCTTGGTTGCGGGCGGGGGAGAGACCCTGGACAGCTGCTCACATCTGGACTAAGGAACCCTACAATTTTCAGACCTCCATCTGGAAGGAGGGACAAGGCCGAGGTCTTAAAATTTTAGGGTCGAGGATCACTTCCCACGGCTGGGGCTGGGTGGTGGGGCGGGAGGTCAAGGAGAGGGGGATGCGCTCATTCTCCCCGCTGAGTTTCATACTGCGCTCTGGAGGATGGGGTGTATGAACTGGGGGTTGACATAGGAGAACCCCTCGAAATCAGACTGGTCAATGTTAGCGATGACCAGCTGGTCCGGTGGGGTCAGGACCGGCTGTCCTCGGGTGAAGAACTTGTCAAAGTTTTCTGCTCCTTTGCCGCACTGTGGAGAGAAGAGAGATGGCAGGTCAGCATCGACCACAGAGTCCAGCCTGGTGTCTGGACCGGGGAGGACCGAAGGCCAAACAGGACCAGGGGCAAAAGCATGGATCTTCAGACATCCCCGGGAATGAACTCTCCCTTTGAACTTAGCAGTATGGAGCCAGCCTCTCTGAGTTCCCTCCCATTGGCCAGAACCCTCAGGGCCAGGTGCAGGAATGAGGCCACGTGTGTGTGTGAACATCTGCATGCTTGCAAGTACACAGGTATGAATGCAAGCGGACGTGCCCACCCGAGCACACATGTAAGCATGCACACATGCGGCTTCTGGTTGGCAGGCCAGTGTGTCAGACAGGCATACAGGCAGTGACCCCTGACCCCAGGGACTGAGATCATGGTCTGTCTCCTTGAAAACACATCTGCCACTAAGAACAAGTATGCCATTCTTCCAAATGAGGTGGTCAGGGAGCCACAGCGCTTGTGGCCATCATCCACCATCGTGGGTGAAGGGGAAGTGATCCAGTTCGGACAGCCACCCCAGGCCCTGCTGGGACTGGGACACCTAGAAAGAGTGACCCAATGGCAGAGGTGGCAGTGCCCACTGAAGAAATGGCCCTTGCCTAGATATGTGTCTATACACAGTGGGGCTCACCCACAACTGTTTGTGTCTCCCACCCCACTGCATTGGGATTTCACTGGGGGAGGTGATGTGGGCAGAGGTGCAACTGGGCTCTAGTGGGCTGAGACCAAGGATGTTGCAGAAACCCAGTATGGGCATGGCTGCTCCCCATGGGGAAGTGTTGCTGGCTCCCAATGTTCTTGTGCTGCTGAAATTGCCTCATGGACCCAATAAGGCGGAGCAGGCCCAGTGTCTGCCAAACAGGAAGTGGGGCTCTGAGTTGGAGAAGGGAGGTGGGGAGGGTGGGAGGGAGTGGGGGGCGGGAGGAGGAGGAGAAGGAGGACGAAGCCACTCCCCTCCACCCAGGAGCTTTCAAGGGTATCCAGCCCCACACTGGGCTGCCTGAGCCTGCGACAGCCCTCACAGGTCTCAGCATCCTCTTGAAATGCCCCAGCCAGGCTACAGTGAGCAAGAAGGAGTTTCTGGGAAGAAGGAGAAGTCTCTAAAAAGAGGAGAAAGCAGGGAAAGTAGGCTGATGTGAGCCTCTCTCCCCGGGGACAAGGAACCGCTTCCTTGGGCGCCATCTTTGTGGGAGGAGCCAATCCCCTCTCTAGGGCGCCATCTTTGTGGGAGGAGCCAACGCCTTCCTCAGGTGCCATCTTTGTGGGAGGAGCGAATCCCCTATCTCGGGCGCCATCTTTGTGGGAGGAGCCAATTCACTCCAATGGAAAGTTCCCAGAGCCTTAGCAGGCAAACCAAAGTCAATTGTGAACTAGAGGAATCCTCAAGCTTGGAAAAAGACTTGGGGCTGGAGAGATAGCACTGCGGGCAGGGTGCTTGCCTTGCACACGGCCCACCTGGGTTCCATCCCCAGCACCCCATATGGTCTCCTGAGCCCTCCAGGAGTGATGCCTGAGTGCAGAGCCAGGAGGAAGCCCTGAGCACTGCCGGGTGTGGCCCCAAAACCAGAAAGAAAAAGGGGGAGCCACCCGAATAACACTGTAAGTCACAGTGCCTTGGGAAAATCATTCACTTTTAAAAAGATGCTGGCACGGACTGTGGAGCTGAGGTCATGCCCAACACGATGTCTCCATCACCTCTTGGTGATTCTCGGCCAACCCAGGTGGCTCAATGGAAGAGTTGAGGCTGTGGTGCCAGGGAAGACCTGGGCCACCCAGATGGTGCACCCATGATGCTGGGGAACCACTGGTGCCGAGGATCAAACCAAGGTGGACCACATGTAAGACATGTGCCTTAACCCCTGCCCAATTCCCGTGGGCCACTGGGCAGCATCATTTGTTCCTCTGTGGCCACACCTGCAACCCCCACGTCCTGATTTGCAGTGTGGCAGGCCAATGGGGAGGGCTCAGGGGGGTGTCCTCTAAATCAGGTCTGATGAAACTGACGGTGTGGGTGGCACACCAAGGCAGGCCTGTTGGGGTGATGACTCAGGAGGAAGCGACTGACCTTATTCGTTTTGGTGTTTCTCCAGTTGGAGCTAAAAATACCTTGGGAGAGAAAACCAGCGGGCTCCCTGCAGCGTTTTATTCTGGGAGTGGGACTCATCAGTACGAGATGAGGATGTTTCTAAGAATAAAGCTGGGTGCCACCCAGCCGGCCACTCAGCCACGCTGGGAGGGCCCCTCAGGCCTGCACACGGGACACCCGTCAGAGGAAGCTGGTCTGGGCCGAGCCCTGGCTGTGGGTACTGTGGACGTGAGCACAGGAGCAAGGATGCTCCGTCTGCTCTCAGGGCAGGCCTGGGGTGTGCCAGGCCGGCTGTCTCCTCCCCCTCCAGAGCTACCCACCAGGGAAGGCAAACTTGGTGCTCTGGAGATGGAGCTGCACAGTTGGGGGCCACGGAAACTCACTCCCACCTATGGCACTGTGTGGCCTCAGGCAAGTCGCTGAGCCTCTCTGGGCCCCATTTTCACACACTATAAACTAAGGTGTGAGGGTGACGGACACTCCTTTGGGGAGCACTGAGAACAGAGCCTGGTGTCTGCAACTTAGTGGGGGAGAGGCGGTCACACAGATGGGCTCTGTATCCAGGTGCACTGGCAGATGCCACCTACAGTGGCAGCAGGGGCACAGTGGGGCCCCTGGGCCTGCTGCTGGGTTGTGATTATTGATGCTACTGGGTTGCCAGGACCACCCAGAAAAAACGGAGACAGAACAGAGGGCCTCCAGACTCCAGACCGGGGGGTGGGGTGGGGGGGGTGGTGGTGTTCCTGTGTAACCCATTCCAGTATAACCCATTCCTGTAGTACCGGTGCCCGGGAATCTAACCCTTGACCTGTAGGGGGCAGCAGTGGGCACAGCACTGCTTGCTGCCTGCTCTGTCTTCACTCAAGTTCTTCGGAAGCTTCCTGGGGGTGGCTCTCAGGTTTGGGGGCACAGTTAGGGCTCCTCCCGTGGCCCTGCAGGAGTCTAATAACTCCCCAAACCCAAATGGACTTGCCCCGACTCACCACTTTGGGCTTGAAGGGCGGCTGGATCTCCCTGCTCTCCAGCTTCTCCCAGTCGATCCTCCGGAAGAAGGCGTGTTCGCGCACATCCCGCTCACCCTCGGGCCCACAGCCCAGCCGCTTGCCTGGGTGCTTGGTCATCAGCTGCAAGGCAGGGGGAAGGAGCGCATGCGTGGCTCATCACAGACAGCCGGTCATAAACGGTACAGCGTTTCCAAACTGAGATGGGCACAGAGCACTGGACGCAAGCGTTCCCCACCTCCCTCCACTCACCCCGCGCCCTCAAACAGCAGAGGTTCTGGGGACGCAGGTGGTGGTTTGTGGCAGACTTTTCCCTGCGTGGTGTCAGCCATGAAGTGTGGATAGCAGAGCATGAGGTATCCTCAGGGCTGGGAAGATAGATGCCTCAGGGTGCATGCCAAGCACGCACCAGGCCCCAAGTTCAATGCCCAGGGCTGAGCAGGGCTGTCTCACTGGGCTGGAGCACTGAACTGTGGGGTCCAGCTGGCTCAGGATCACCCAAGCATTGCTCAGGAGTGCCCACAAACAGCTGTGAGACAACCTGTCAGTCTCACACTTCCACAAAGTTGGGGTGGGGGAGGAAGGCAGAGAAGGCTCTTGTCTCTTTTTGGGTCTGCCCCCGGCCCAGAGGGTGAGGAAGCATGGACAGACTCTCGGGATGCTGACCAAGAAACTAGTGTAAGATTCATCCCAAATCCACTGCTGACCAACAAGGGTCTTCCAGGGATGATGCCGTCAATGATGCCGGCAAGCTGGGAAGTGTCTCAGACACCAGCTGGATGTTAGGATTTAAGCCGGCGTCTTTGAGCACTATTTTGGAGCGGCTGTTCTGTGGAGTACAGACGGGGGGCTCAGGAGGCGTGTGTCCTGGACGTGGCCCAGGCCAGCCACAGACCAGGTTTCAATGTGGTCTCAAGGGAGACCACTGAAACGGGGCAGGTCTGATGGAGGTATGGACCGCCGGCTCTCAGAATGTGTGTGTGTGTGTGTGTGTGTGAGAGAGAGAGAGAGAGAGAGAGAGAGAGAGTGTGTGTGTGTGTGTGTGTGTGTGTGTAAGGGTTGGGGGTGTTATGCCCTCCGCCCACACTCTCTGTTCCCGGCCATCAAAGGAATCCAAGTCTACTCACTCCCTTGCAGATGGAGACAGCCTCCTTGGACAGGGACTTGGGGTAGGACACATTATGTTCCATGATGGACTGGAACAGCTCGTCTTCGTCTTCCCCATCAAACGGAGGCTGGAGCAGAAGAGAGAAAGCAGGAGGACATTGAGGAGGGCGATTCTTGGACCCCTGATCAGTTCCACACTACGGGATGGGCCAGCATCTTGGCCGTGTACAGCCGCGGGCGGCACGCCTAGGTGACGCTGTGCTTTGTTTGACGGTGGCTAATTAGGCTGGGGCCCCTTGTGTGTTCTGGTTCCCCACCCCCTGTCCCTTTAATTATCCTGCCCCCCCGGGCAGCCCAAAGAAAGTCATCTTTAGGGAAAGTGTTTCTGAGTAATGTCTTTAATGATTTGCAAATAAATTAGAATTCATCCATTCATCTTGTAATTATGTGTTAAAAAGTTAATCATGATCAAGCTAGGCTTGATGTTGGGAAGGCGGGGGTGGGGGGGGAGACTGACTCTGTTGGAGTTTGGAACACACAGGGGAGAGGAGGTGGGGGTGGAAGGTGGGGGGAGGGAGGGAGGGAGGGAAGGATATGATGTCAGGCCAGGGGCCCCGAGTCCAGGGAGAGCTGCTCCTTGGGGCCCTGCGGGTGGCTGGGAACGGAGTAGAACCCCGCCGGGGGTCTCCTGTCCTCCCTCAAGGGGGAGCTGCAGCCCTAGACAGAGTAAGAGTTGGTGCCTGGTGGAGCCAACCCATAGTGATATCCCTCGGCCCCCTTGGAAACTTGTATCTCTGAGCACCGTGGTCTGAGCCTGGAGCTTGTCCTGTGTCCAGAGAGGGGCGGACAGAGGTGTCCAGGGATGCCTGCCGATTGCTACAGACCGTGACTGCATCTGGGTCTGCTGTCGTGTCCCTTCCTGGGGACCCTCCCGGAGAATGGCTTCACAGATGTCTGCTAATGCAGTCTGGAGACGGGAGCATTGGGCTGGTTAAAGCTGCTCCAGGTTACCCTGGGCTTTGCACAGGGAATGGGACTGTGCTCGGTGCTCGAGGTGGGCCAGCAGCAAGAAGCTAGAATTATGGACATCTGGAAACCTCCTTAACTCCCGAGAATGAGCCTGGGCACAGAGCCAGGGGCCGGAGGACAGGGCGCAGGGCGTACGCTGCTCAGTGTCCCGTTAGTGTCCACAGGAGGCCACTTACAGTGACTTCTGTCCCCTCCAGATTCAGATTCATTCCCAACTTCTTTGTATCTGGACTCAGGAGGCTGAGCAGACTCCCAGGTTCACAGAAGTCTGGGCTTGTTATGAAACATTTCTTTTCTTCTTTTTTTTTCTGTTTTGGGGTTTGGGGTCACACCCAGCAGTGCTCAAGGTTCTGTGCTCAGGGGTCACTCCTGGCAGGGCTCAGAGGACCATGTAGGGTGCCAGGGACTGCACCTGGGTCTGCCACATGCAAGGCAAACACCCTACCCACTGTCCAATTGCTGAGAAGCATTTCTGAGGTGGGGCGTTCCCTCTCAGACCGTGTAGTGCCCCTAATGTAAGGAGAGGTGGCCCACCCATTCCTGAGCCATCTCTGGGGTGTGTGTGTGTGTGTGTGTGTGTGTGTGTGTGTGTGTGTGTGTGTGTACGGGGCAGGAGTGGGAGCACTGGCTATACCCCAGTGACCAAGGGTGGTGATACCTAGGGACAACTCAGGTTGAAGTTCAGGGACAAAGCACAAATGACTGGGGGGCTGCCGGCTGCTTGGGATGCAAGCTCCTGACGTTCGCAGTCACGATCTGCTCATTAGGGTGCTGGGCAGACATGATTTCTGGCCCGAAGGAGTCCTATTAGTCAGGCAGTGCGGGGGCCCAGGGAAGACTGGGCTGTTTACACGGAGCTGCACCCCGGCTGCTGGAGGCCAATCAGCCACTGAGAAGCGCTTACAGAGGCGCGTGTTTCTGCTCCTCTGTGGCCTTGTCTTCTGCGGAAGCCCGTCGGCTGCTTCGCAGTTAATCTCGTCCTTCAGCAACTGCGTCTCTCTAGGCCCAGCCTGCTGTGGGGGGCAGGGGGGCCTCCTGGATCACCAGGGGCTGTGGGAACAGGACCTCCTCGACCCTCTCTGGGCTGAGTCGTGGGGTCGGGGTACACGCACAGAAGGTGGGGACTTGGGGAAATGTCGTGAGTGCATGTGACCGCTGTCTCATTTCCTTCCAGTCTTCACCGTCCTCATGGCCCCCCGCCTCCTGGTCATTCCAGCTGGAAGGCCAGCCCTTCCCCAAGCCTGGATCTGCCCTCCTTTCTCTGTTGTCCCCTCCCTGTCGACTCTGTCCTCTGAGGCCTGTCCACTCGCTCCTTCGCTAGGCTTTTCCACAGAGCTAAGGAGTTGTGACTGCTTTGCTTCTGGTTTAGCCCACGTGAGCACACAGGAATTATTCAAAAGGGAGGAGTGAAGGGAGAGAGGGAGAGAGGAAGGGACGGAGAAATTTCGGAGGAAGACAGGGAGGGTTGGAGGCAGAAAAAGGGGGTGAAGAAAGGATGGGAGAAAAGAAGGGATGGAGGAAGGAGGAAGAAAGAAGGAATGGAGGAAGCACAAGAGGAAGAACAAAACAGATGAGGGGCTGGAGTGATAGTACAGAGGGGAAGGTGTTTGTATTGCATGTGGCTGACCCAGTTTCAATTCCCCCAGCCTCCCATATGGTCCCCCGAGGCCTGTCGGGAGCAATTCCTGAGTGCAGAGCCAGGAGTAACTCCTGAGCATCACCGGGTATGGCCCAAAAAACAAAAAAACAAAAGGAAGTAAAGAGTGGAGGAAGAAAAAGGATAGGAAGGAAGGGAGAGAGGGAGGAAGGAAAGTGGCAAGAAAGGAAGGAGGGAAGGGGGAAAGGGAATGGAGAGGGGAAGGAATAACCATAAAGCCATTCACGTACATGGCAGCATTTGGGATCATTTTTGTAGACAGCTTGCAGGATCTATAGCCACTCCGTTTGCAGGGGCCTGTGCCGATCCAACAAGCCGGGGCTTTTGCCCACAAGGAGGAAACAACTGTATCTACTCTCCATGTGACTATCCATGATGAGGAGAGAAAGTTCTGCTGTCCCGAGACAGAGCACAGGCTCTGGAGTCTCAACTCTCCTCTGCCCCACAGGTGCTGACTGCCTACCCGGCCCACATAGAATACACCCAGCCTTATTATACTGCAGAGAACCCCAGGAAAACACCGCGGAAAGTTACCTGCCCCGCCAGCATCTCATACAACAGGACGCCATAGGCCCACCAGTCCACGGATTTTCCATACGGCTGATAAGCGATGATCTGTGTGGAAACAAACACATTTGTCATGCAGGGTGGCCAAGATGCCCATCTCCAAACGACAGACCAAGCAAACAGGGATGAAAGCTTGGATCCCCCAGTAAGCCAGTCACACCAGCGACGGTCCTGAGCATCAATTCCTCGACTTGCCTCGGAGTTGCGCCTCTGAATTTATCTGGAGGTGATGCCAATGATGCCAACGCTGGCTACAGGCCCCGCCCACTATCCTCCTCCACCAATCAGACCTCTCAGAACTGCCAGGGCACCTTCAGCGCCAGGGTCTGTGGGTAAGTTAAACAAAATACAGGACAGAGTTTTGCTCCAAGCACTAAGGGTGCTGCTGTTAAAGAGGCCAGGTGATGGTAAGAAAAACCCCAGGGTTCCTGGGTCACTGGTAGACAATGACATCTGTTCAGTGACTAAACACTGCCATTTGGACCGCCTGTGAATCTTGATTCAAACCGGCAGTAGGAATGGAAGAGATGAAATTAAAACCGGGCTTAATATGAAAGGGGATCCGGGCTGTGTCACTGCTTCTCTTACGCCGTAGACACAGCCCGATGATGAGTTTGGCAAAACCTTTGCACCTTGAGATGAATCTCTCCGTGGGCAAGGTGCGTGCAAGTAAACGGTTTTGGAGGCCATGTGACATGGTTAGCATTTCACACTAAGTAAGGTGTGTGCGTGGGGAGATGAGTGAGCCAAATGGGGCTCTGGGGTGCTCCCCCTTTCTCCTTTCCATCCTCACGTGGCTCTCAGCAGTGCTAGAGCGACTGGCACCCTACCAGTGGGCAAGAGAAAGGGACTCAGGGGACCTTGCCCTGAGGGGGAATTGTTTCAGCAGCTCACAATTCTCAAACCCCAGATCCGGCCCCGGGGTGAGGCGAAGACAGAAGGGGGCAGGTCTCCCAGGGCTATGCTGAGGTTTCATGGGCTCAACTCTGCCTCTGCCCTCCACTCACCACCCCCCCACCACCCCAGCCAGTGCTCTGTGAGCAGATTGGCCACAGGTCTGCCCAACCCCAGCCCCTCTCAGATGACTGAGATTTCTCCGTGTGTGTGTGTGTGTGTGTGTGTGTGTGTGTGTGTGTGTGTGTATGGGGTGGGGGCGGTGACGGGGGAGAGAGTCACACCGTGGGTGTTACTGCTTGCACTCATTTTCTCGACAAGAAAAGAATCATCAAAGGAAGCACAAGTAGGTCTTGGTTGCTGTTTAAAAAACATTTGTTCTTTGTTGTGTTCTTTTGTGGTGATGTGGAGACCCGGAGAATATACAAAGTGTGCTGAGTGCTCTGCAGAGGAGTTTCTTGAATGTGGAGAAGCTGCTCCAACCCTCACTCAGGTGGGCAATTAGCCCAACAAAGATGCCTGTGGGGGCTGTCCTAGGCCAGGCTTGGGGGGGCCATGGGGTGCCAGAGATGGAACCCAGGTTCTGCAGCCCTCTCCCCCCTCTCTCCTCTGCCCCTGCAGCTGCTTATTTTTACGACCTTTGATAGAAAGGCAAATTGCCTTCCTAAAAGCCAAATTGAATTTCCACCCAACTTGATGCCAATTTTGGCATGTTTCACATTCTGTAAAATCATTCTTTTTTTAAAAAAAAGTCTTTTTAAAAACCCTAAGCCATAATGTTCATTAGAGATATTAGAAGGAATAGGGAAAAAAAAACCAGTAAGTTTCTTTTGTTAAACTACATTAATTTGCCTATCATCTTACCAATGAGAGATAGTCACTTTCTTCTGATAGGAATTCCTTTTCCAGTGCTGTTATGGATACAGTGGAGTTAAAGAAATGAGACAATTCCAACCTGCCAGTCTACAGGTTACCATGAGCATCTCCCCAAATCTTTATTTCCTTGGGATGAATATAAGTAGAATTGGGGCCAAAGAGATGGTTCAGCAGGTAGGACGCTCGCCTTGCACGCAGCCAACCTGGGTTCGATCCCTGACATCCCCTATCATCCCCCAAGTACCTCTAGGAATAATTTCTGAGTGCAGAGCCAGGAGTAACTCGTAAGAATCATTAGGTGTGGCCCAAAAACAAACAAAATCTAAGTAGAATTGCTCTGTCAAAATATATGTTCTAAACACCTAAGGAAGACTTTTAGAGCAAATTACCAGAGCACTTGAGGATGGTAATGCTTGGAAATGTACATGGAAGTCAGGGTCCAGGTCAGCCTGAGGACTAGACTTCTTTCTCTAAGCTGCACCTTTGAATGATGGAAAGTGCTATTGCCCGGGTCCTTGAATTCCCGTTTTGTTTATTTTCCATTTCTCCCCCGGAAGTAGCTTCCTCTATTCCTCAGTCACCCACCTATGTCTGTGGTGCGACACAGAGATGGGGCTGGGGAAGCGTCTTTGCACATTATGGTCTGCACCGTCTCTGTTGGAGATCAGAGAGATGTTTCCCGCTGCCGGCACTGACTCGTGTTTTACTTACAGGGTATTTTGATGCTTGGAAGCAAAAACTTCAATAGAAGTTTTTCAATAGAAAAGTCTAACAAGCTTTCCTACCAGGAGCTTTTGAGGTATTACTTAGGAATTCCTTTCTCAGAATCGACAAAATTCTTTCTGTTTTCCTCTAATTCTGTTTTAGATGTACCCAAAACAAAACAAAACACCCTATAAAAACCAACCTTTATTTTATTTTTTAGCATTTTATTCTACTGAAAAGGTTATGATGTGGTATCAAGGCAACATTTTCTCTAAATGCTAATCTCTAATTTAGTACATAAATCATCTTGATTTTGTTTTTGCTTTCTGGGCCACACCCAGCAGCGACTGACTTCCCTCTGGCTCGGTGCCCAGAGATCGCTCCTGGTGGTGCTCAGAGGGCAATATGTGGTATCGGGGATTGAACAAGGGGAGGCCACATGCAAGACAAGTGCCTTTACCCCTGTCCCAGCTTTTGGGTCCCTAAATTAAGTTGGTTTCTTCTGGGGTCATACCCTGTGGTGTTCAGGAGCTATTCTGGGGTATAGAGGACCATAGGTGGTACCGGGCATCCAAACCAGGGTTGTGGCTACTATGGCTGTGTGCAGAGGCAAGCGTCTCACCTCTGGTACTAACTACCTCTCTAGCCACAGACCATCTTTGCTTAACTCCTTGGAAAAGCGATTTCCCCGCACCCTGAAGAGCCAGCTCAGACTGTGTTCTCCCGGCTCCCCACTTCAACCTCCTGAGCAGCCATGGCTGAACCAGCCTCCTACACCCACTGATGAAGCTAGTTTCATTTTTCTCCTCCCCTCACGACTTGGGTCCCCTTTAGCACTTAGCAGGACTCCTCCCAGAGTGGTCTTCTGGGTCTACCATGAGACTAGAAGACCATGCAGTCCAGGAGATGAAAAGTTCTCTGGGCTCAAGAATCCACATTTGTCTCTGTGGCTGTAGCATAGAGCTCCTCCTCCCCAACCCCAATTATTTTACCTACTTTCCCCCTTTTTTGAAAAAAAAATCACTCAGCACCTTCCAGGTATCTAAGGACTTGAATATTGATGGCGCTGCTGCTGAGGTAAATGGTGTTAATTAAACCACATCCAAGCATGAGCCTCCACTGAAGACACGCCAGCCTGTACTCAGGGGACACAGCCAAGGGACACAGTCAGTGCCCAAGCCCAGTGTCCTTGGGGTATTCGGGAGTACTCAGCATCAGTTTCAGGAGCTGCCAGGCTCAGAGAGAATGCTTAAGGGACACTATCTCCTTTGTCTTTCCCAGGGTCATACGGAGGGACATATGGCCATTAGCCTGATTCCTCAGTTGATAGAACTGAGGCTAAGACAGAAGAAAACGATGCCCTGTTAAGGTCAGGGTAAGAATCTGCATCGGGGATTTCTTATTCTGGAATCTGTTTGAATGGCTCTTTTTTGGGGGGGAAGGGGGAGGTGGTGGTGGGGTTACCTGGAACTGCTGGAAATCGATTAGAACCCCTTCCCCCTGCTCCCTAACTCAGAGGTGGCAACCAAAGGTGGCATTGAGAGGAATGAGGCATCTTCCTCGCCCCAGCTCTGGTTCTAACACACTCTGACCAGAGGCACCAGCCTGCTTGGGGCTACCTGAGGCCTCTGTCCGAATTGGGGTCAGCAGGGAGGCTTGGCTGATCTTGGGCAACCATGAGGTCATGTCTTGGGCTGGTCGAGGCTGGAACCTACAGTACCCGTGGGCATCTGTCTGTGGTCTGCTTTCTCCAAAGCTAGAAGATGGCATTGCCACACAGACACAGAAAGAAAGACAGCACTACTCTGCAACTGCCTAAATAAAAGTCTGGAGGAAACCTAATGAGCATCGGGACAAGCCTTTTAGGGAGCCGTTCCCATTCCAGGATTCTGGATTCCACTTTTATTCATTTATTCTGTTTTTTTTTTTTCTGGTCATACCCAGCAGTGCTCAGGGCTTACTCCTGGCTCTGCACTCAGCTAATCACTCCGGCTGGATCTCAGGGGACCTTCGGAGGTGCTGGGGGTTGGCCATGTGCAGAGCAAGCACCTGGCCCACTGTGAAATCTCTCCGGCTCCAGACTCTACTTGTAAACCTGGCCTCATGCTCCATGACCTGGGGATATGTGTTTGACCACGGCTTGTTTAATGACCAGATAAGTGAATGGATGAATGAATGAATAAACTTTGTGTTTACTCCATCTGTTTCTCTAGAAACACTCTCTGCTGCCTATTTCTGAAGGAACATTTGTGCAAATCCCAAGTGCTCTCAGGAATAGAAACATTCCACCCAGCAAACTCTGCTTTAACCAGAAAGACCAGGGGGTTATCATGACACGCCTCAGTGTAAATAGTTTTTGCTTGAAAATTCTAGAGTCTGATGCAAATGCTAAGAACTGTGACAATTTTCACCATATGGTAAGCCCCTTCTCTTAATCTCAGTGGAGAACGACAATTAGTCAAACTAGAAAAGACATTTTTTATAAAAGACGTGAGCCAATGGATTAACGAGTTCGACTTCTTCAAAGGCGCATGGGACACAGTGTCTTAGCTTGGGGCTGTTCTCTAGAACGA